TTGTGAACTAGAAGATTTGCGCTTTTGGGAGATTCAGCGGTAATTTGGATCGCTTTCTAGTTCGCGAGAAATCTGCGTCGAGGAAATGTCGAGGAAATTTTCGAAGTCACTCAAAAACTCTATTCCTTATTCGCCGTAGCAAGAAACTCCCTAAACAACCTCGGAATGATGTTTGGGCACTTTATCTTAGTGGAGTAAATAGGGAATAATACACTGAGCGCATTCACATTCAATTCACATCCGCATTCACATTCAATTCACATCCGTTCCGGTATGCGCCATGCAGTGATCCCACTCAGACTCGTTTGAAAGGTGGCTTGTCTATACGGCAACCACTTGTGCAGGCTAAAAAGTGTTTCTAGTCTCACAATCAGAATAATTTCTATGGTCATAGTATAGTATGATCATTCCTTTATTAACGTCGCTTCCTTTCCGATCCTGTTGCAATGAATGACACATTTGCGGGTGCTGTATTTGATGATGCCAAGGAGGCTGCGAATCTTCCTGTTTCGAAATTTCTAGCAATATACTGAATTCTCATTATTCCACTAAATTCTTGAATGTCGCTGATTACTACGAACCAAGTGGGCATACATTCAATTTGAACAAGATTGGTCTCCCGTCCAACCTGTTCGGTCAATACTGGTCAACCGCCGGGACCTTCCTTTACGTCTTACTTCTTACGAACTTTACGTCTTACACTGTGGTTCCTTCCCACCTGTGACACCAACACCTCGTGGAGGTGACGCGCATGCAGCAAAAGGAGTTCACATAGTAGAGGGAATCGCCATAACCATGTCGTGACGGTAGATTTTCCGCCTCCCTTCCTCATCCTCCCTTCCTCTCTCCACTGCCCTCCAGCTGCCACTGCAGCACCATGTGGAATGAACGGAAGTGTGCTAAGCAGGTGTTTATATAGCCGTAGAGTGTTATCACAATTATCTTTTACCAGTTTAGCTCCGCCCGCTACCGCGCGCATGACACGGAAGCCTTGATAGAACTGACAATCGGTGAAGCTTTGGGTTTCACCGCTTAACTATAGCTGCTTCGTTAAATGCATTACTGTCCGTTGCCCATCTTGGCTGTATCTCACTGTTTGATAAGCGCAGTGAAGTGCACAGCTAAAGTGATGATGTAAACAACCACTATGCGTCGAGTATCGAGGTAATTTAGCGGTCGAATATCTCAAAACGGAATGCCCAGTATTCATTATCATATTTATTCGAGCATCCCATTCATCCTCAAGAACTCTAGAAGGTGTAGCGGTCGAAAGGTGTTTGAGTTTACAATTACAACGCTAATGAAATGATATTGAAATGAAATGCATTATCTGCAATCTGGTTTCGAGTAATCTCTACGTTACGCATATCGTAATTATCAGTCCTCATCTGTCGTTATCACTTTTTGACCCCCACCAAATATGTTCCCGTCCCACCCCCATATCATGTCCCAAAATCAGCTCCTGACGACTGCTGCGAAGCGCACTATGAATTTCGTGAAATTTGTGTTTCAGCGCCTCTTATCTGCTCTTATCAGTCGTTATCACTTTGTGACCCCCACCAAATATGTTCCCGTCCCACCCCCTATATCATATCTTGAAACCAACTCCTGACGACCACTGGTGCCCGAGCTATGAATTTCGCGACACTTGCGTTCTAGCGCCTTTTATCAGCCCTTATCAGTTGTTATCACTTTCTTTACCCCACCAAATATGTTCCCGTCCCACCCCCTATATCATATCTTGAAACCAACTCCTGACGACCACTGGTGCCCGAGCTATGAATTTCGCGACACTTGCGTTCTAGCGCCTTTTATCAGCCCTTATCAGTTGTGATCACTTTCTTTACCCCACCAAATATGTTCCCGTCCCACCCCCTATATCATATCTTGAAACCAACTCCTGACGACCACTGGTGCCCGAGCTATGAATTTCCGGTCAGACAGACAAACACATACACACACACACACACACACACACAACCGCTTAGCCGATTATATATAGTAGGATATTACTATTATAAAAGCGCTATGTCTGTTGTTTGTGTGTGTGTGTGTGTGCGTGTGTCACGAAATTCATAGCACGCGTCGCAGCAGTCGTTCAGGAGCTGATTTTGGGGCATGATATAGGGGGTGGGACGGGAACATATTTGGTGGGGGTCACCAAGTGATAACGACTGATAAGAGCAGATAAGAGGCGCTGAAACACAAATTTTATAAAATACCAGATTAGTCCCCCGTCAACCGCCGGGACCTTCCTTTCCTGCGCAAGCTTTCTATCCTCCGCTATGGTCCCTTCCTCCTGTGACACCAACACCTCGTGGAAGTGACGCGTATGCAACACAATGGTGTTTCATACAGTAGAAGGGACACAATCATGATATGACGGTAGATTTTTCGCTTCCCTTCCTCATCCTCCCTTCCTCTCTCCACTGCCCTCCAGCTGCCACTGCAGCACCATGTGGAATGAACGGAAGTGTGCTAAGCAGGTGTTTATATAGCCCTAAGAGTGTTATCACAACTATCCTGCTACAAAACATTGATATCTCAAATCCTGTAAGCTACCCGATTTGTTAGCGGTTTGTTTATCCCATGAGCTTCCTTCTCACTCACTTCATTTTGCGGACGGACACACATACATACATACACACACATACAGATACACAAACCGACACACAAAGTTAGCGCTTTATAAAATAGAAGGATATCACAACTATCCTGCTACAAAACATATGATATCTATCCAAATCCTGTA